TACACCAACTGCACAAGTAAGAGTTTCTCAAAGGCCGTCCACGAATCTTCCTCAGAGAGCGACAGAGATGACATTATTACACGAAACCTCATACATGAGTGAGTGTTTTCCTTTTATTTGGTCACATCTATTTTTAGAACCGTGACTGACCAATGGCATTGTCAAATTCGGACTTCATAAATATCTAATTCGGGCCGAATTTTGACTGAAATATTGCCGGGTACGCTATATCTTGACAAGGAGAAAGGTGAAAAATACAATAACACCGATCAAATTCCAACATCTTTTGCTCAGGAAACATAATTTATTATTAAAAAAGAATCCCAAGTCAAAAAGGAAAAAAAAAAGACATTATGCAATTATCACAAAATGTTTGGACAACTTTTATACAAGAATGATCTAATGCTAATGAAAAAAAGATACATATAGTAGAAATTGGTAGTGATTATATTATGGTATAACCTAAATGTTACATACATACCTTATAATATCTAGGTGTAAATTAACAAATGCGTGTCACAAAGAATTTTTGATGTTAATGAATGATGTTGAGTGCGATGCTGATGTGATATGTCAATGTAAAATCTTATTCTGTTTATTGAAAAATAAAGTATAATAGAGCCGAAAGCATTTATTAAAATCCAAAATCTTTTCCTTTATTATTATCATCATTATATTATTATTTATTTTCATTTGGAAAATTAAAATACCAACCGAAGATTTCTAAAATGGATTTCTACACAATACTCTATCCATGATCGTCGAACCCAAAGTTGAATCCAAGGTGATCAGTGCTGTTTAATCACCTTATCAACAAGTCCCAAACATTTGGTGACGCAGCCACTGTCAATGATTTGAAACTCGAGAATGTTGAGCAGATGAAACGCAAATTCATTCCGCAGATCCAGTTCAACAATCTGGTGAGCGCGCGACTTGGCGAATTCAATGCAAACAGATGATAAATTTTTGTCTGCCAGTCCCCTTATGAATAGAGTTGAGAGAGCAAATTGTTGTTTGGCATCAAAATTTGCAAGGGAGAAAGCATCACGTAAATGAAAGTCATAATTGCGCAATCGTTACCTTTTGGGTTCTATGTATCGATTCCAAATCTTCATCATCTGTTTTTCCTTGTCACTCACGTCCGAAAGCTCATCTAGAGTCTATACAAGAAAGACATCGTTAATTGGGGTCATTGTCGCTCGTTACTTGTCAAATGCGTTCGCGTACAATGCGGCGAAATCCCGAATCAAAATTCACACCTCATCATTCAGCTGTTCTAACCAGTGAGTGCAAATCTCGTCCTCCGAGTCAACGTCACCTTCCTTGAAGGGAGTGAACGTGTGAGAATGATAGAAATTGCTGCTGGGCAATGATGATATGGCAAGAGGTGGAGCGGTATACTGCTTCAAGGGATAAATGAATGGTTTGATGGTCCAACTGCCATCTCGTTTGTCTATCAGAAAATATTCGAATTCCGAAAAATCTTCATTTGAAGTCACAGCAATGACACGATCATTTTGCGGTTGTTTCCCATTCTGCGCAGAAAAGGGAGTCAAATGATGAGATTCACGAAACCCATCGGAAAAAATAAAATAAAATAAAATCACCTTGATCCTAAATTTCAAATGAACATGATTACTTTCAAGGTGAATCATCAAACATTTACTGTCTGCAAAACAAAGATTTGAACACCACGGGCAACGAAAACCTCTGACATGTTGAGTCAACTCACAATCAGCTACACGATATATATATGAAACTGGAAGAACGTCTTTTTGAAGATCCGAAATTAAGTAAGGTTTTTGTTCTAAAGGCTTTAATGGAAGATGGACCTTGCAATCCCAATAGAGCGTGAAACGTATCTTCCAATCCGAAGGTATTATAGAACCTTGTTCCTGCGCAAGTCTCAGGATAACATCGTATTGTCCATCCTTGCAGAATCGTCCATTTTCGATCACACTCATCTGGTTACACAG